TAAAAAAGAGATAAAAAAGGAAAATAGAAAATTAAAATACAGTAAATAAGAATGATGAAAATGCATTCTTATAATCTTTATAAATTCAACATTAATTATTTTAATAATAACCATTGGTAATTCTCTAATCAATGTATAGGAATATTAAATGTTATAGTTTCCTTATTTTCCTTATGTTCCTGTATTTGATAATCAATAAAAAGAGGATGATAAATTAAATGAATAATAATAATTATATTTTCAATAATATTTGTTATTGTAATAATAATTACAATAATAATTGGATGATAAGAACATTTGTAATTTCAATTTTAATTTTATGCCTCAATAATAGTAATTTAATTTAAATTTTAATTACTTCCAATAATAATAAATGTACAACAATGATTTTTAAGTATTAAATTCATGTGATATTAATAATAAAGAAAACTAATTCGATGAACAATGATAATTAATAAATCTATATATTAATATATAATAATTATAATATATATAAATAAATGGAAGAATAAGCAACAGTTGAGAATGTAATAATTGAAGAAAAGATCTCAAAATCTAATGGAGATGTGATAATTAAAAGATATTAAAGAGGGAAGACTTTAGGTAAAGGAGGATTTGCTAGATGTTATGAGATTACTGAAATAGATACAAAAAAAATATTGGCTGCCAAGATTATTTAAAAGAATACTTTGACAAGGAACAGAGCAAGATAAAAAGTAAATTAATGATATATAGATTATAGTTGATATCAGAAATTAAAATACATAAATCATTACATTAAACTAACATAGTTTAATTTATTCATGTATTTGAAGATCATGATAATGTTTATATCATATTAGAATTGTGTACAAATTAAGTATATATATATGATGATATCTTTTAAGACACTCAATGAATTAATTAAGAGAAGAAGAAGAATAACATAATTAGAAGTGTAATGTTATATATTACAATTGGTCAATGCACTTAAATATCTTCATTAAAATAAAATCATACATAGAGATTTAAAATTGGGTAATCTATTTTTGAATGATAAAATGGAATTAAAATTAGGTGATTTTGGATTGGCAACTAAACTAGATTTTGATGGAGAAAAAAAGAAAACAATATGTGGTACACCAAATTATATAGCTCCAGAAATTTTAGATGGCAAAATAGGTCATTCATATGAAGTAGACATCTGGTCATTAGGTGTTATTATATACACTCTTCTTATTGGAAAACCTCCCTTTGAAACTTAAGATGTAAAAACAACATACAAAAAAATCAAAGCATGTTAATATACATTTCCTGATCATGTAGTAATTTCAGATAATGCTAAAAATTTAATAACTAAAATGTTAGTATTAGATCCAAGTAAAAGACCTACTTTAGATTAAATCTTATAACATCCATTTATGACATCTAATTCAATTCCAAAAACAGCTCATATTTCAACTTTAGTTGGTCCACCTTCTATGTCATGGTTATCATAATATTAATCTACTTAATCATCTTCATCTCAATAAAAAAGATTAGCTGATACAGCACCTTAATAATTAATGAAAGTTATAAGTTAAGATAGAGTATCACTTTTAAATGATGCTTAAACTTAAAATAATTTTATGAAAGATTCTCGAGCATCCTCTTAAAAATTAGTTGATATGAGAGCCACTTAATAATCTGCTAAAACATTACCTACAGGAATTATTAATAATATAAATAATGTAAATATTTTTAGATAAATTTATAGAAAACATTTAAAATTTAAAGAAATGAAATTTTTGTTAAGAAATGGGTAGATTATAGTAGTAAATATGGTCTTGGTTATTTATTAAATAATGGAAGTAGTGGTGTGTATTTTAATGATTCAAGTAAAATTATTGCAGATCCAAAATAAACATATTTTGAATATATTGAAAAATAATCAGATAATTAATAATATGAAGTTAATTCATATTCATTAAATGATTATCCAAAAGATTTATAAAAAAAAGTAACATTACTTGAACATTTCAGAGGATATCTTGATACTGATAGTACTGATAAAGAACCTATTGATTAATCAGATGATAATAAGATTCCTATGGTTTATGTTAAGAAATGGATGAAAACTAAACATGCTGTTATGTTTAGATTATCTAATAAAGTAGTTTAAGTAGATTTCACTGATAAAACTATCATCATTCTAAATTCTGATACAAAATCTGTCACTTACATTAACAAAAAAGGAGAAAAATAGAATTTCCCTTTAAGTACTGCTTTAGAATCATAAAATCATGAAATGACCAAAAGGTAATATAAATTTATTTATTATTAGACTTAAATATACTAAAGAGATTTTGTAACATATGTTATAAGGAACGTAAACTTAAGTAATCAATACATAACTTACTCTAACTAATTGGAATTAAAAATGAAATTATAACACATCATTCAATTATATTTAAACATATTCACTTATATTTATATATATATTTAATTATTTATATAGATATTTAATATAAAGTTATTTCTTGATTATGAGAGAAATTAAAATACTGAAATAGATTAATCTATATATATAAATGAAAGAGAGATAAAAAGAATTGATTATAATATATATTAATTAATAATAATAAAATAAGTATTTATAATTTTTAGAATAGTAAAGCTATTTAATACTCATATATTGTAATTCTGCATAAAGAAATGAAGTTCTTTAATGTTTGAACATTTTGCTTTTTATTTATTTCTTTTATTGATTACAATAATATTATTATTATCTATAATATTAATTGAAAAATTGAGATTATCGTATTCATTTTCATTTCTTTTATCCAATTTATTAAATCCTAAGAGTTTAATTTATTAAATAAGATCATGATCAATAGTTTATTATCTTCTATATTTTTATTAATTATTGTGATCATATTCTTTAAAGAGAGGAAAAAACATTTATTCATTTTCTTTACTATAAATATCTTTAGTGACTAATTCTCTTAAGATTAATTTATAATCAATGTTTGAAGTTAATCTTGATACAATAGATTTCAAGGCTTCTCTTAGATCTTTCTTTTCAAAATATTTCTAATTTAATTCAATAGAAATTCTATTATAATCTACATTTTATCTTGGATCAATTCTATCAAATAAAAATTTCTCTTTATCTAAATACATTTGATAAAAATTCTTAAAAATTTGAAAGGATATTAATATATTTTATGATTCATCTAATAAGATTAAGATTACACGTTTTAGATGATTAAATATATTTCCTTATCCTTCAATTTAATCAAATAACAATTCTTATAAAATATGAAAGATATTAATTCTTGTAATTTATTCAACATGAATTCTATCTTTTTCATCCAATTTTTCAATTTTTCTTAGATAAAGATCAATTAAATATTGTTTTATTTATGTTTAGTATTTTTCATCTTAACTTTTAACAAATTTACTACAAATCAATTTACTTAGAATCATTCTAAATTTTGTCCTATTTATAATACTAGCAACACCTCTATTCTAAATAAAAATAATTCTATTGTTTTACTCCTTGTAAGTAATATTCATATATTTAGAGTAATTCATCTATATATGTTATTTCATATTATTTTGGTTCAATTAATACATTCAACATAAATTCTAATATTTCATTCTGTTCTTATCTATCAAGTATAGGACAAATGTTAGACAATGGTTTTGAATTAAAAAAACCAAACCAAGAATCTTTTATTAATTTTCTAAATTGCTATTCATTATGTGCTAATTATCCAATCTTAGAAATCTAACTCAAAAATGAAGTTCTAAAACTTTCACTTAATCCTAAATTATCAATCATTTATTCATAAAACCTATAATAATGATATATATATATATACCATTTCTATACATAATCTAAATGAATTGGTAAATAATAGTCATAAGTCTTTAGATGCTCTAATACTTTTTGATTAGGTTTCATTATTAAATTTATTATTATAATAATACATTTCAATATGTATATATTTTTTTGAATATGAATCATTAATCTTATTCTGATAAAGCTGTTCCTTCTAATGCTTATCTTTATTATTCCTCTTTATTTTCTTATTCCATTTAATCTTCTCTCATTATATTATCTAAGTCTGTCTATAATTTAATCATAGCTGGACCTCTCTCAATTTCTTATGTCATTTGAAGATATGCAGTATTAAATTACTTAGCCAAATGATCACCAGAATCTTATTCAATGATATTACCATTTGAATCTGTCACTGTATATGAATATACACCAGCATTATTTGATAAATCAGTAACTTATCCAACAACTCCAGGAATATACTCAGCATGAGTTTCAACTAAGGATTTATGTTTTTTGGACTCATGTTTTACTTCTTCTGAAGTTATTTAAGCCCAATGTTCTATTCAATTTTTTAAATTTTATACAAGCTTCCTTTGGATTCAGATGGTAATCACTATCCCCTAAATTTACAAATTCCATGAAAGCACTATTGAATGTTCTCTTTTAGTGAACTGCACCATGTGATTTTCTTACGTGTCCAGCATATGCTGTTAATAGCAATGCGCATATCAGAACTGATTTGTACATATTAAAATTATTAATAATCGTTTTTCCACTTTTCATTTTTACATTATATAAATACAATAACATATTCATCCTTTTATATATAAAAATAACTAAATAATTATTAACTCTATTTTACTATTCTCTATTTTATTAGTAAATATTCCTTTAATATTTTATTAGATACTATAATAATTTTTATTTTTACTAATTAAAAAATACTATTATTAAATATCATAATATATTAATAAATATCTTATACTTTATATAATTTATTTAAGATTCTATTATTATCATTAAGTTTACAAAATACTTATTGTATTTTTATTATTAATTTTTATATTAACTTATTTGATATAATAATCTTATTATATAAATGATTATATCACATATATTATTGATTGAATAGATAATGAGTTTTAATTTATATATATATTATAATCTTGTTAATTTAATTAGTTTATATAAAATGCTAAATAACTTGAGATAAAACAAGTAGGTTTTAGTAATTATTTAGTTACTAAAGTTAACTCGAAAATTCATTAAGCAATTAAGTTTAATAAGCATTCTAATCAACTGTTTAGTTTGGCATAATCTCTTTTCTACTTTATGTCTTAATGGTATTGATTGTGATAACTCTGCTTATTTCTATTGTTGTTGCCAATAAATATAGATAATCCTAATAATTACTTTTAGTAGGAATTTTGTTAATTCCTTTGCTAATAGTTCTTTTTGGATGTACATTGTACATCTTATTTTAATTTTCTGAAGCAAAAGAAAGAATGAATAAAATACCTTAAGAAAAGTATTTGAATAGATAGATGTACTAATCATCAATTAAATTTCTGTTTTTCTATACAAACTAATCTAAATTTACTGCAATAAGATTGACATATTTATATATTGTATTTGCAATCTCTATACTAATTCAAAATTTAGCATTTTTATCAAAAGATGAATATAATGATGATGAAGATTATAAGGATCTTGATGAAACTAACAATAATAATAATAATAATAATGATGATACAATTAATTACTAAACAAGAACATAAAATAATGGAAATTTATTATTTCCTTTAATTATCTTATGTTCAATTTTAGCTTTCATTTTCTTTATTTATGAAATCTTGAAAATTGCATTAACAATCTATTTTAAATGTAGAAATCAGTCTATTCCTCCATATTAATATAATGATACAAATTTAAGTAATTTTATACTTAATTAATAGATATACTAAAAGTTATTAGATGGAGTAAAGCATTTTGTGGTATCTTTCTTGTGAATAATATTGGCAAGATGATGATCTTATGTACAATATTTATTACTCCCAATTCAACTTCATATATCTTAATAGGTTCTAATCTATATTATCATTTCTTTATGGCAACTTTAGTAAATGCATTATTCAATGAAATTTCTGCAAGTAAATTATATATATTATATTTTATATAGTATAAAGACCTCCTTAAAATGATAGTTCTATATTTATAAATCATTAAATATTAATAGATTCAAAATTAAAAAGTATGAACACTAAAAAAGTATTTTAATTTTTATTATTAACATCATTTATTTTTACAATTATAGGAACATGTATATTTAGAATAGAAATGGATACATAAAATGGAATCATAAATTTTGATATATTCATTTTCTATGATTGTGCAATAACTTAATTAATATTATTAGGATTAGCTAATCTTAAATATTTGATTATTCCATATTTTAATAAGGGAAATAGCAATATTATACATTAAATATAAGTTATTGAAGATTAATAATAATAAACAATTGAAAATTAATAAATAAGATTATCAACAGAATAAGCTTAATTAGAAATGATTTTAAGATCATAAAATGATGATAATTATGATAATTCAAGAAATAGACCTCCATTTAAAAAAGTCAAAAATATTGATTTTATTATTTAAAATGAAAATGAAAAATCAGACTGTATAATTTGTTTGCAACCAATGATATTTAATTTAGATGATCCTATATTATAATTGAATTGTCATAATACTCATATCTTCCATAAGAAATGTATCACAGATTGGCTTATTTAAAATAAAAAATGTCCATTATGTAATACTCAAATTTTATGATATTATTATTTATATCATATTTTAACATTAGAATCAATAAATACATATTATTATATAGAATATATGTTAAATCAAATGTGATTAAATATATATTATTATAATAATTTTAATGAATACAGAAAGTCAAGCAATTGATCTAAACCGAAGAATATTAAAATCCAGTTTAACAAGATAATTTACAAGATCTCCAACTAGATCAAGAAAAAGAATTATTTCATTACCTCCATTAGAAGCAGCATAAAATTAATATTAGAAATTGAAACAACGTAATATTTCTTATCATAAAGAGAGTCCAAGAGAAGTATTTATATTTATTATCAGTGTTGTAAGGTTTAATCTGTTTGACCATTAGAGAATTAAATGGTTTATGTTTGAATACTTGTCGATATACCAAAGCTAAAGAAGAGAAAAAATATTTTTTAAATAACAAATATTTTGATTCTTGTTTTAATGCAATGAACAAAAGGAAATTCCAATTATTTAATAAATGATTCTAGATGTATCTCATATTAATATTAATTCATATTATGATATACATAAACAATATACATTCAATCAGTTACTTTCATAAACTATCAACAGCACTACTGATTTAATCGATCTTAGATAAATCAACTTAATAAATTCTTGAAATTTTTAAAACTTCTTATTTATAGATTTTTAAATTATTATCTAAAATTAAGGATAAATTAATTATTAACAAGAAATTTAGAAATAAGAGTCAAATTATAGTAACCAAAAATATTACAAAAAATAGGATCAAATCAATATTCGATTTTAATATGTATATTCATTGTCTAATGATATTAATTATCTAAATGAAATAATAAATTCAAAGTGTAAATATTTGTCATTATATAATAACATTTTAGCTCCTCATTTTATTTAATTTTACAATTATTTCTAATATCTCTTTTATTCTTCTTTTATTGTAGCTTATTCATCTGTAATAAAAAATTCTCTTTTTTTTATCTAAACTAGTTAATTAAATTTAAATTCAATATCTTAAAATGAATTCATTTTATCATTGTAATTAATATAGTATTTATATTTTAAGATTATTATTATTGCTTTAATGATAAATAAGATATCTAAAATATTCTTAAAATATTTTTATACATTTCACATAACAATATTTGAATTTTGTTGATTAGATAGCATTTGTGATTTACTAATGCATGAATCACATTACTTGAAATTAATTTTTTGATATTTTTCTATTTTATTAATTTTATAATTATGAAAAACTTCATTGTTTTTGAGAAGTTGGGGGAAGGTAATATTATATTCAATTATATAATCTAGGATCTTTTTCTACAGTATTAAAGGTTAAAAGATAATCGGATCAATAAGAATATGCAATGAAAAAAGTAAGGATGGGACAATTAAAAGAGAAAGAGAAAGAGAATTCATTAAATGAAATTCGGATATTGGCTAGCATATAACATCCTAATATAATAGCTTATAAAGAAGCATTCTATGATGAATAATCTTAATGTTTATGCATTGTAATGGAATATGCAGATTAAGGGGATTTATAATAACATATCTAATAACATATTAAACATAAACAATACTTTTAGGAAATAGAAATCTGGAAAATGATTTATTAAGTCTTACTAGGTATTTAAATTACCTAATTTATAGCTTTACGAAAGTTACATTAGATGAAGATTTTACATCGTGATTTAAAGTCAGCCAATGTATTTATTCATTAAAATAACTATAAACTTGGAGACATGAATGTTTCTAAAGTTGCCAAAAAAGACTTAGTATATACGTAAACAGGAACACCATATTATGCAAGTCCTGAAGTATGGAGAGATTAACCTTATGATACTAAAAGTGATATTTGGAGTTTGGGTTGTGTAGCATATGAAATGGCTACACTTAAACCTCCATTTAGAGCCTAAAATATGGAAAGATTGTATAAAAAAGTATAGAAAGGATTATTTGAACGAATTCCATCAAAATTTAGTGGAGAATTAATGACTATTATTGGATTATGTTTACAAGTTCATAGCAAATCTAGACCTTCATGTATTCAGTTATTAAGCAATCCTATTCTATTGAGGAATGCTAGACAATTTATTATTGAAAGTAGAATTTCTTAATAAGCTTAATCATCTTAGAATGTTTCAAATATACTTTTGTAGACTATTAAATTACCTAAAAATTTGAAATATCTTAAAGAGAAACTTCCTAAATCAAAATACATTGTTGAAAATGCAAATCAATCTTATGATGAATCTTTAGTAAATAGTTCTTTTCTACCTAAAATTAATAATCAAAAAGAAATTAGACTTAATAGTTCTGTTCCACCATTAAAAAGTGATAGATATCAATAGTAACTATAAATGTCATAAATCTATTCTTAATATGAGGATAGATCTAAATATATTGCTAATTCAGTCTAAATGCTTGAGATAGAAAGAATCAGACAAAAGAAATTACTCAAAAAATAATAAAATTTAAAAATAAGTATTATTCATCAGAATGCTATACCTTATATCAATTGTTCTTCTTCTTAAATTCAAAATTTATATTAAAACAAACTATCAAATAATGAATAAAATCAATAGAAGTACAATTCAGAAACTCCTAAACCAATTTGGTGGGGATGATTCAATGTTTTTTTTTATTTATCTTAGATGAAGAAATATACATGAAATTATTATTTAAAATAGATGATTGAATTGAGAAATTTCAATTATTTATCTGATATATATTTTAAATTTTAAATATATTCTATTTTCTAGCTTGATTTATTGATAATTAAATAAAGTATTATTTATATATATTGTATTGATATTGTAAATTTTAATATGAAAAAGATGTGATTAAACATCTTATTTATTAAATATCAATAAACTTTATCAAAATTAATTCATAATTATTTAATATTGCATTCTAAATGGAAATCATATATCCTGAACCTGACTCTGAATAATCAGAATATAATAGGTTAATTATTCTTCCTTACATAGGNAGACTTAGTATATACGTAAACAGGAACACCATATTATGCAAGTCCTGAAGTATGGAGAGATTAACCTTATGATACTAAAAGTGATATTTGGAGTTTGGGTTGTGTAGCATATGAAATGGCTACACTTAAACCTCCATTTAGAGCCTAAAATATGGAAAGATTGTATAAAAAAGTATAGAAAGGATTATTTGAACGAATTCCATCAAAATTTAGTGGAGAATTAATGACTATTATTGGATTATGTTTACAAGTTCATAGCAAATCTAGACCTTCATGTATTCAGTTATTAAGCAATCCTATTCTATTGAGGAATGCTAGACAATTTATTATTGAAAGTAGAATTTCTTAATAAGCTTAATCATCTTAGAATGTTTCAAATATACTTTTGTAGACTATTAAATTACCTAAAAATTTGAAATATCTTAAAGAGAAACTTCCTAAATCAAAATACATTGTTGAAAATGCAAATCAATCTTATGATGAATCTTTAGTAAATAGTTCTTTTCTACCTAAAATTAATAATCAAAAAGAAATTAGACTTAATAGTTCTGTTCCACCATTAAAAAGTGATAGATATCAATAGTAACTATAAATGTCATAAATCTATTCTTAATATGAGGATAGATCTAAATATATTGCTAATTCAGTCTAAATGCTTGAGATAGAAAGAATCAGACAAAAGAAATTACTCAAAAAATAATAAAATTTAAAAATAAGTATTATTCATCAGAATGCTATACCTTATATCAATTGTTCTTCTTCTTAAATTCAAAATTTATATTAAAACAAACTATCAAATAATGAATAAAATCAATAGAAGTACAATTCAGAAACTCCTAAACCAATTTGGTGGGGATGATTCAATGTTTTTTTTTATTTATCTTAGATGAAGAAATATACATGAAATTATTATTTAAAATAGATGATTGAATTGAGAAATTTCAATTATTTATCTGATATATATTTTAAATTTTAAATATATTCTATTTTCTAGCTTGATTTATTGATAATTAAATAAAGTATTATTTATATATATTGTATTGATATTGTAAATTTTAATATGAAAAAGATGTGATTAAACATCTTATTTATTAAATATCAATAAACTTTATCAAAATTAATTCATAATTATTTAATATTGCATTCTAAATGGAAATCATATATCCTGAACCTGACTCTGAATAATCAGAATATAATAGGTTAATTATTCTTCCTTACATAGGGAACAAAATCAAGTATAGAAACAAGGATAATGTTAAGTAAAGTTTAGACTAATTTTCTATATTTATAAACTTGTTTTGTTATATTTAGCTATGAATATCATCTTTTGCATATTTGTAGGTAACTAAAATAATGATTACAATTAAATAATATATTTTTGCATCTTAGTGATAATATTGATGGTAATTATTATAATTTGCTTATTGTACCAATATTGTTCGTTTTAAGAAGCTGAAAATAAAGTAAGATAAATTAATGAACAAACTCAAATTGAAATTGATGCTAATTCAATTCTATATTAATCAACATTAAAATTTATGATAGCATTTACAAACTAATCTAAATATTTATGGATTAAAATCATACTTTTATATTGTTCTCTTTGTATAATAATATTTATTAGCTAAATATATCAAAGTTAAATCTCTATTTGTATGTGTTATGATTCTATAGAGAATATTCATAAAGAATTTATCTATTCAGAATTATAATGCATTTTAGAAAAAGATTGTAAAATAACACAAATTGAAACAATCACATTTCCATATATAAAACAAGTAATTTAAATAAATTGGCCAATTATTGCTATTTTAATGATTCTTTAAATTGCTTAAATTTTCTTCATGGCTTTTTCATTTTTTTAAAACAACCGTTGTTGTAGTTCATTCAAAATTTAAGAATTCTAGCATGTTTATAATAATAAATGTAATTCAGTATATTATATTTATTAGAGAAATAAAAAGCTATATCTTTTGGATCATTTCTTAGTGGATCAATTATATTTTACAGTTTAAGTAAATTAATTGTTCTCAGTTTATTAATGATATTAACTTAAAATGAGACTTGTTATGTTTTAGTATCATCGAATTTATTCTATTATCTAATGATAATAATAGTATTTAATTAGATTAAATATACAATTAATTGTGGTATATATTTTTAATTAATTAATATAGAATAAGCAGTTGAAGTTTTATGCTATTAAAATTCTTAAATACTTATAGATTCTATAATATTTAGAAAAAATTTTAGAAATGAATTCTTTGGAATTGGATTAATTTTATGTTTAATATTCACAACTATTGGTTAATTAATTTATAAAAAACATAAAAAGTATACAAATATAATGAATTATGATATCTTCATAGAATTTGATTGTGGTATATTTCAATTCATAATGCTCATTATTTTAATTTATAAATACATCATATATTAGCATTGTAATAAATTCCAATAATTAATATTCTAAAAAAATAATAATGGAAGCATTCAAGAAATTTCAACAAATTAATCTTCAATTCAAAATTAATCATAATTAATTAATAGCAGAGTACAAACTTAACCTAATAATAATCCTACTTTAATTAATTAATAAGGTAATCTATTTAATTAATTAAAATTAACATCCTAAAATTAATCTACCTATATGATTGTAAAACCTTTAACAAGTTAGATGGATTGTATGATATGCTTAGAAAAGTTGGAAAAAGGATCTTCAAATGTTGTTTAATTAAAATGTCATAAACTTCATATGTTTCATATCATTTGTATTACAACATGGTTTTATTGTCACAGAAGATGTCCAACTTGTAATTAAGAATTCATCATAGATTGATTTATCAATATCATTTTTATAATAATTAATCTTATATTTGATATTAAGATATTTAAATAAATCATATATTATTGATGTTTCAATTTAATTTTATTTTAAAACTATCTTTGATTGTTAAATAATTAGATGTTATAAAAAAGAAAATTGTTTTAAAATATGAAGTATAAATTTTTATAACTTATTTGATTAAATAATATAAATATTCTTATTTAGTAATGTATTTACAAAAATGAATAAGAATGGTTAAGAAATTGGAAATTTAAATGAATTTTAATATGTCAATAAATAAGTGATCAAAAATGAATGACGATAAATTTGATAATAAACAGAAGTTGAGTTTAAATGATTATTTAATGATTCAGAATATTAATAAATCTTGGAATATATATTTAATTTAAATTACAAAGTAATGCCTTAAATTGATCCAGAAGTTACTAAGTCTTAATGTGATACATCAGAAAGTTCTAAAAAGATATAAAAGAAGTGTGGACATTGGAATAATGAGGAACATGAATCATATCTTCGTTTTTTATAAGAAAATGCTAATCATAATAAGGGTCAAAGATTATTTAAAAGAATGAGTTAAATTATAGGAACAAGAACACCTAGTTAATGCAGGTAATATTAAATTTAATAAGATTAGATCTCATCATTAAAAGTTCAATCCTTCAAAACCTTGTGTTAAGTTAACTTAAATAAAAATAATGAAAACAAAATAATTGGTTCGATTATATATGAGTAAACATTAGGAAAAAGATGAAGATGAAGAGTGAATGATAGTTTTTTATGTATATATTAAATTCAATTTTTGTGATGATGTTTAAATATATATATAACCAAGAAAATTTGTTTTTTTAAAGCTTGATTAAACTAGAAAAAGCTTAGACTTTAAATAAAATATTAGATATAATTATAAGGATACAGGGATTCTGTTAAGTTACTGTAGAAATCCAAATAAAACTGAGTAAGAATTAAGAAAAATGTTGAATTATTTATGAAGCGAGTATGATTGTTAATTAAGAATAAGTGCTATCTTAAATAATAACTGAATCTGTTATGATATTAAATATAATTATAATGAATTTTGAGAATATTGTGAAATTTATGGAGAAATCAGAAGCTTGTTTAAATTATGAATTAATTAATGCACCTTTTGTACCTAATACATTTTCATTGTGGAGAGATGTTGTATATGAAAATGTAGATCCTAATTAATGGTTTGAGTTTGTGAAACAGATTGATAAATAATTGTTTTAAAAATATTTAGAGAAGGTTAGAGAAGCATATGCAAGAAAACTAACTTATTAAGATTTAAAGTTAAATGTAAGATATGATTTAGATGATAAAAAATTGAAGAGCATATTCGAAAATAATTTAAGTAATAGAGTTTTAAAATTTTCAAATAGAAAAATAAGTTGATACTTTAACAGTTCATCTTTCGTATTATCAAGCTTAAGTTGAATATGCTTATGATTTATTAAGAAGAATACATACATATAAATTTGTAGATTATAATGTAGAATAAATATAGACATAGTAAAAGGATTAAACTTTGTATTAAAAATATTTAGATAAAATTGTAATGATTATATAAATTCAATATATATAGATGAGAGGATTCATATCAAATGTTTAAGATATTGCAACTGAGAAAATAAAGGAATACTGTGCAACTGGATTAATAAAGAGTAATTCATTTTTGGAATCAGGGAAATCATTTTTTAAATAATTCTTATTTAATGGAGGAGTTACTGTTGCTAAATTAAGTAATATTAATTTAGGTTTATTTGTAAGTTAATTTAATAAATGATTTAGATTGGTGGAATAATAGCAGAATAAATTGTCAGTAAAGTAGCATTGAGTATGATGGTATAGAGGGTTAGTTCAAAATTAGATTACTTATAATTGGAACTTGATTAGATGACAAATGAATTAACATATATAAATTCAGATTTGGATCATTTAATTTATAGAGCAGCAGAAGAATTTCCTAGAAATTTTGAATAAAATTAAACATGTAAATATATATATATAAAAATTAAATTAAGTTATATAAGCATTTGTATAAAAGAATTACAAAGTAAATTTAGGATCAGATATTATTTATTGTTCAGAGACAAATACAATTATATAAAAGAGTATTGAAGAAGATTGTGTAATATTGAATGAAGTTGAATATAATTTACCTCTTTAAGAAGAAAATGATGAAGATGCTTGTGTCATAAAATTTTCATCATCTAATATATCAGATAATATTAATAAATAACATTTTGATTCTATATTTTGAAATTGATTATATGAAATAATTATTTACTAAATTAATTTATAATGTAAAATAATAACAGCTTTGAATATTAATCAAGTTAAGGTAAAAGAGAAATTATGCTCTAGTAAATTATATTAGAATAAAAATAAAAAATAAGAGATTTAGAATTACAAACTTAAAAATAATAAACACCTCCTATGTATAAATAATAATTATTGGAATGTACTAATCAATTAGAAGAAAGTAAAAACATAATTAAATAATTACTTTAATAAAAAGATTAATTAACATAAAAAATATAAACTATAGAATCTGAAATGGAAATATAATAAAATTAAGCTGTCTTAGAATAACAAAATCAATATAATTAAAAAATTAAACAATTATAACATGAAAATTAATTATTGTAAGAAGAATTATAATAATTCTAACCATTATCAAAAGCATTAAATAATTATACTCAAGAAGAAAAATATATTTAATAAATTAACATTCTCTATGATTTCTTAACTTAGTGGTAAAAATAGAATATGTCAGAATTAGTTTATTATAAAAGAGAATTAGAAATATAAATTAATTAAAAAGAAGTATTAAATTCAAAACATATTGAAGAAAAAAAAGAACTTATTAATTAATTGAATTAGAGAATTAAATTAGATCAATAAATTTAAAATGATGTAATATTACAATTATAAGGTACTCTTTAAGAAATATCTAAATTCTAAACAGAAATTAAATAATTTAAACTTTTCAATGGAAATTATTAAAAAATTGAAGAATCTTTAAATTAATAAATTGAAAATCTTAAACCAATTTAAACTATTCAATAAATTTCATAAATTAAATCTAATTAATCTTAATATGCTACAAGAATTGAGAATAATTAATAAGATGATTAAATTGCTTATCTTAAAGCAGAAAATGAATAATTAAAATAAGCAACTGAAGATATTAAATAATTATCATTGTTAAGAGAAAAAACATTAAAATAAGAGATTTAAAGAAATAAAGATAAATGTGAATATCTCACATAATAAATTGAAATAAGAGAAAAACATTATATTTAAGATTTATAAAAAATTAAATAATATATTGAATAAATAGAGAAAAATTATGAATCAAGGGAAAATTTCTATAAATTTAATAGTGAAGAACTTTAATAATTACTTGATAATTTCAGAAATATTACATAATAGATCTCAAATGAATTAAGAAGTAGAAAAGGTAATGAACATATTAAGGAATGTAAGGATTTATTGACTAAATTAGTTTAAAGTAAATCAAAATAACCAAAATAAATTAAGAGTTTAGAAAAATTAGAAACTATTTGTAAAGATTTATTAAAAAATTAATAATTAATTAAATAAAATGAAGATTTAAAAGATCTAATCATAGATGTTAGTAAATAAATTCTGAATTCTTAAGAATACAAATAATAAACTATAATTTTATTTGAAGCACTTGATTAATTAGAAGGAATAATCACTAGTCCTAATAAAAGAGTTGATGATTTATTAGATTTATTTCATAAAGAATTATAATCACTAACCAAATTAAGAGAATAAACATATTAAAATAATAACATTTATACATAGATATTAGAAATAATTAAAGAAAAATAAGATACTCCAACAGTATAAGTTAGTAATTAAAAAGAAGTGGAACATATTTCTTAATTGAGATAATTAGAATAAGAATAATATAAAAAAGAAATTGATATAGCTATTAATAGAAGTTAAAAATTATTAGAAGTGTAAGAAATGAAAATTAAAAATCTTGAGTATTAAATAAGAAAATAAGAATAATATATTAATTAATAATATCAATCAACATCATCTTAATAGAATGAAATGGATGTATTAATTAAATAACAAAATAAGTAAATTATTAAATTATAGAAATAATTAAATGAAGTTTAATAACAAAGAGTTTAAGATAAAAAAGATCTAATTAAACTTATATAAGATAGTGAATCTAAATAAATAGATAATTAAAATAAAATATTAAAATAAATAGATACAAAATATAATAATATTGTTGATATTGTTAATAAAAAATTAAATAAATTAATTAAACAAGATTAAGTTTAAAATAATGAGGAATAATCAAAAATAATACATTAAGATACTAATTCTCAAATTAAATAATTGATTAAAAAGGATTAAGAGAGAGATCAATAATATTAATCATAATTAGAATAATTGAGATAAGTAATTGATGAATTAAAAAATAATATCTAGAATCTTCATGCAGAAAAAGGAGAATTAATTTAATAATTGGATGAACTTAGTAAAGTTGTTCAAACTTAAAAGAAGGTTTACTATTCATTTCGTTAATAATAATAATGATTTTATGCTTATTTATTAAAATTCAATTGTTTTCATCATACATATTTATCAATTTCACAATTAAATTTAAACTTTCAAAAGTAATTAAATTATCAATATCAAACCAATTAAATTTGTATTAACTAATGATTGTTTTAATCACTCTTTCTAAACTTATTATTTCATGATCTTTAACCTTATTTGAACTTTCAATAACATTAGATAAATCTATTAAAGAAGAGAAAATTTTATTTTCTTTAATATTTATCTATTTATTTGCATGTTAATTGCACAATTGTTTTATCAACTATTTTATATATATTAGTAATTAAGGTCTAGCCATTAATCCATTTTTATATAAATCATAAATACATTTAATTGTTTATTTAATTAATTCTTAATTATTTAATGAATTTTGGAATCTTTCCTCAACACACATATTCAATGTTTCTCTCATTAAGGGTTTCTTTTTATTATTTTAATAATATAGAGATTTTAATTCAGGATTAGATATCAAATTTAATAAGCATTATAAAAATTTAGAATTTTACTCTTAGATTAATATATCTAAATATAAATCTATTATATATTTAACTAAATCTTTGTTATTCAAAATAATAGTTCCAATAAATTATTCAACTAAGATATTTTTTGGAATATATTATAATGATAAAATGAGTTCTTATTTTAAATTATCTTATATATTTATCTATTAAACATTAAAATCTTTATTGATTCTTTCTTGAAACATTAGATTAAATTATAATTTAGGTGTTAAATACACTTTTGTATAGAGTAGACTATAATTATTAAATAATAGTAATACCAATTTTTGAGTTATTCTTTATCTAACTTAAATAATTCTTAAAACACTAAAGTTCTATATTCATATATAGATTCCATATATTATGACTCAACAATTTAAACTTTTGAATCAGTTAATTCATAGATTGAATTAATGGTGCTGTTATAATTTTAGAAATCATAAAGATAACAGAAACTATAATTTAAGATTAAATTTTGATAGATTGATATAAGAAATGAATCTTCTAAAATATCTGTTAAATGCTTTATAACAATGTAAACTTTGGCATGGTTAGTTTTGATATCTTTAACTATTTTTTTCTATATTGCTTCATAAAAATCATTTTGTAAATTTGAGATATCAAATATCACTTTAAAATATTCCTTATTATCTGTTCTATAATACCATTCAATACATTAATCAGCTGTATTTTATACTATAAATATGAAATGAAATCTTACTAACTAAATACTCATCATCAAATTATTCGAAAAGTAATTAACTTATCTATGGATTATTAAATGCTTATAATAATCTATAAGTATTGAAAATCTTCTCTTAATATTAATGAGATTATTGATATTATTCTCTTATGATATCATCTTATAATTTATATTAAGAATTAGACTATCTAATCATTTTTCTATCTGCCAACTTCTTTAGATGTTCAGTATTATGTTCTAATTCTATGTTGTCAATCAAATATCCTAGTTGTTCTGCTGTGTAAAAATGCTGTTATTACATTAAAAAATACAATTTATTTTCTTTTATAAAATATTAATAATTTATACTATGGGACCAATGTGTTCAAGTTCATAAATTAAAAGAAGAGAATCAAAATAAATTTAAACTGATTAAATTGTTGAATAAATTAATAATAACACAAATATCTTAAATAGCATAAGCATTGTAATTGAGTTGATTTACGATATTAGTATCATTGATATGGAGATATATTAGTAAATGATCTTGATTTGTAATAAAAGCAAGATATATATGTTGAAGAATAGATTAAGATTGAAGTGAATTAAGAAGTTGAATAGTAACTTGAGAGTTCTGTTTCTGAATAATCACATTATACTATAATTCCATCTCAAAATCCACCTCCTTCAATAACTTTAGAAAATGAATAAGAACCTTATTCATAATTGCTGTAAAGTATGATAGTGAAAAAGAAAGACAAATTATAGGTAATGTAATAAGACATCTAATTACTTGATTATTCACCAATCAAATAAGAATTCAAATCTTAAAGTTCTGAAATCATTTAATCAGTTGAACCATTTAATTTAGATCTTGAATCATCTTCATCTTCTGAATCAATTTAATGGAACCAGGAGTATACTATAGATAGCAATGGAGAAATTTTAGTAACTGGAGTTGTTAATTGACTTTTGAATATTATGAATAATATAAAACAATTAATTGAAGCTATTTAAAAAGTTGAACAAGAGTTTAATATATTGAATATAAATCCTGAAGATAGAATACCAATGATTAGTAAAATGTTATTCAATGAACAATTATAAACTTTGGATAAACTTGATTAAGTATTAATCACATAATTTTAGTAAAGTGGTATACATTTATATAATTAAAGGTTTAAATGAACTTAATGAATATATTGATTACTTACTTTATAGATTAGATTCATAATGTGAATTTGAACTAAATTTAAATTATTAAACTAATGATAAAATATTGTAGGAATTATATTCATCTTAATAATAATTTAAGGAATAACCAACATAAGATGAAAATGATTTAAAGAGAATATAAAGACCAAGAATCTCTATATAAAAATGAATCATAAGTATATGTATAAAAAAATATTATTATCTTAATCTAGATATAAAATATAATTTAAATGAAAATATCACAATTCTTAAAGATTTTATAACAAAAAGTCAATGTATCTATCTCCTTTAATATTTAAAATATCTAAATATTATTTTGTTGCTAATTAATCATTTTCATCTTTATGAATAAAGAAAAGAAGCTCTTTTATATAAATAATTCTATCAAAGTAATTTGTATCTAATTAATTTAATCTAATAAATACTTTCTTCCTCTGGAACCTTCTCAAAATCATCAAACCAAGCTGGTGTATTAACAAAATTTTCTTTATCTACTAAAAGTCCATTTAATTAAGTTTAATAGATTTGCAATTCCTCTTCCTTTGGAATTGGTGATTGCAATAAGATTAAATAAGTACATATTTATCTTACATTCACATAACTATAATTGAATAGAGAAGGTAAAATACCCATTTTCATCTAGTACTTTGAGAGCTCTCATCCATTATGCTGGTGTTAATTTAAGTACATCATAGGATGATCTAGATAAAAGTAAAGCAAGTTATTTAATATCAATGAATAAATGAGTATTAGTGATTGCTTTTAAGTCTTCGATTAAATAATATAATTAAGATATAGAAAATCTTTCCTTAGACAAAGGTTCTCTTGCAGTCAAAGGAGGAGGAATAGGTGTCAAAAAATTAAGAACTTCATGACTAATTATAACATCAACAAATTATAATTGTAGTTCTTTTTAAATTCTTTCACCTCTTTCAATATATCCTCTAAATAGATTAGAAATGGCATCTAATGCTTTTATTTCAGTCAAATGTGTATAATGAATCCATTCATCTAATTTAGAATATAATAGATCAACTGCTTATTTATATTTTAAAATAGTTTAAGTAGCAAATCTTTTGATTACATCTACTCTTTCTTTAAAAATTTATTTTTCTAAATCAATAGCATTTATAGCTTCTGAATTTTATAATTCTTTCTTAATAACTTCTTCTTCTTTACCTTTTTTACCCTTTTTCTCTTCTTTCTTTGCAGGTTGTTTAGCTCCTTTCTTATTTTTATCTTCTATTATTTCCTCTTCTCCTGCAAATATTCTCAAAGTATCAGCTATTAATTTATCTAATCTAATTTATGGATCATCTCCATCTATCAATTATAATTCTCCAACAGCTGGTTAGATTTCTGATAATTCTATACCTTCTAATGTACTATAATAATCATTTAATAATTAAATTGAATTAGTTGTTCTATCTAATTCAATAACAAGCATTGTTTTCAATTATAATAAATAAAGTTCAATTTCATTTTCTATAAATTATGATGTTTATATTTATGATTTTTCTACTATTAAATCATCTCTCTTTTAATCTATTATATCTATTAATTAATCGTATACATCATCAACTCTCTAATGTAATTCTTCTTTACAAACATCTTCTTCACATAAATCAGGATTCTCAAAAATGAATTCATTGTATTATTCTTAATAATTTCTAATAAAATAGAACTTTTCATCTGGTGTATTAATTAAATCAATAAATTTTCGTTGGATATCCATTTAATAATTAGTAATGAATTCTCGTTATTCTCTAAATCCCTTGAAAATATTTTAAAGTAAAATATACTTATTTTCAATCAAATTCCAATAACCATTTAAATATTTAAGAAAAGCCTAACTTGGCTATTTCTAAGGTAATTTGTCTAATTAAACTTATTTAATCTAACATTTTTAATCTAATTCTTCTTATTCTTATTTTTATTTAATTAATTTTTCTTCTTCCAATATTTTATTCTATTAGGATTCTTATTTTTATTAAATTTAATTAATCTGAATTTAAAGAAAATTTTAGAATACTTAGTCAACATCATAAAATACCTTTTCATAATTATTAGATGAATCTACAGTTATGAATGCCTTTTATATATTCGACTCACACTTTGATTCAAAATTATCATACCAATTTTTAAGTCCCCCTATTTAAGTCATAAAATATGAATTTTTATCTGAGATTTACTATTAGAGATTACCAACTTCATATAAAGGTTTGATTCTTTCAATTAAAGGGGCATTATCTATTGGAGGATGATTTGAATCTAAATGATATAAGGAATTGTTATGATTATCAAATCTTCTTCCAATAGCTCTTCTTAAACACATTTCATTAGAAGGCATTTCCAAATACATACAAATTCCAACTCCACTTTCCTGTTTAGTTCTTGGAATTTTATGATATTCATTTGGTTTAACAATCCTAGCAGCTTCTTCAAGTCTAGTTTATAATGCAGTAGGTTCATCTTATGGTTATATATTGGTAAGATATTTTTCTAATAGTTTTGCTTAATCATAAGTATGAGGAAATCCAACCAATAACCAACCTTTACAATAGGGTTTATTATTTATCATATTATTTCTATGAAAATCTTCCCAATTAATACCATCATCATTAAAATCTTCAATACTTTTGATTATTCTAACATTATGATTTTGACATTTATCTTTTTATTCTTCATAAATCTATTCAAATGTTTGTTATTCAAATGTTCTTTTGATTTTCTACACAATAGCTTTAATGTATAATTCATCAGGAATATTTTCTCCTTCTAATAGATAATTAGATATAGATTAACCCAATTCAATTTATTGTTAATCCCAAATCTATGAATGTTCTTCTCCTTATTAATATTTACTTATATATTCTAATAATTCATTTATTATGACATCAACATATAATAAAGTAATTCCATATTTCTTACTTAATAATTCACATATAGTACTCTTACCACTAAATGCAAATCCTATCACAGATCCTCTAAACGGAACATAAGGAATATTGAGTTCTATTTATTCTGGATTAGTAATTTCAAATTAACTCTCAATTAAATATCTCACTAAATTTCCTAGAGTATAATTATTTTATGCTTAATAAATATTCCATGCTCCATTACCTTCTAAATAGTCTTACATCTCCATTTTAGCTAAAAACATTTTTTATTGATAATTTTAAGTTTCTTATAACTTCATTTCTTTGATGGGATCATATGTTCTAAATCTTTTGTAAGGTATTAAATCCATTCCTTATTCAAATAAATGATTATTTTCTCTTGTGAATTATTAATTTATTTAATTTGAATCACTATTTTATAGATGTTCATAAACTTATTCTTCAATTTCAAATAGAATTTCAACTAATTTTCTACATTTTTCATAATTCTATTATCTAATCAATAATTTATATTCAACATTAATTTCTAATTATCTCTTTTATTATAATTCTATTTCTTCATTAAATTCTTATTATAATGATCTTAACATTTCTTCTTCTTTAAATTTCTGATTAATTACATTTAATTCCTTTTTATTTTTATAATTTTCATCTCTTAATATTCTATTTTCACAAATTACTTCTTTACATTAAAATGATCTCCATATTTCATACATTATTTCTTTTTCTTATCTACTTTATTATTAAAGTTTCTCTACAACACAATATTCTCTTCTTTATAATTCATTAGTCTACTTCTCTTAATCTACAATCATTTTTCTTCTTCTTTTATCTCTCTCTTTTCTCATAAATTCATTCATCATTTTATTTCTTAATCCTAAACTTTAAGATTCATCTTTTTATCTATTCTCAAATATTTCAATCTACTATTCCATTTCACTTTTCAAAAACTATTAAGTTTAAACTAATCTATCTTCTGCTATTTTTTGCATAGTAGATTTAAATTTATCATCATTTAATTTATTTTTATATCTAATCTATTAATTTTTCTTCCAATTATCAATTCCCTTTTGATTCCAATCTTCCATAAATGCCATATTTCTTTATAATTTATTTAATTGAATCTTACGCATTTCTTCCTTTAGATTCCTCTCTTCTATTTCTTCTTTTATCTTTAATCTTCTCTCCTTCTCTGCCTATTAAATAGCAAATGTTGTAAATTTGCCAAGTGATCTCTCTAAATTTACATCTTTTTATGCCTTATTTCTCTCATTCAATTTTTGTATAAAGAAATCTTATTCCATCTTATCAAATTATTCTTTTGGTTATCGAATGATCATTAGAGATTGAATTACATTATATTTCCCTGTTTTTGCATGCATCATAATATCATGTGGATCATTCACTTTTTATAATTACTTTAAAATATCAAATCTTTAATACCATCTATAATTAATATAGCAATTGCATAGCCACTCCTTTTTTACACTTTATAACTTAATCTGCTAACTAAAAATTAAATGAAATATGAAGTGTCTTAAATGTTGGTTCAAGCAATTAAAAATTCTTCATTTTAGCTTCTCGAACATCTCTATTTTATTATCTTATTTTATTACTTATTTGAGAATTCTTCAAAATTTAGTTATTGATTGAATTTGCTCAGTAATTCACCAAAAAGATATCCATTACTGAAATCATTTTCAAATGATGTTACCTTCTTACTTAATTAAACCTCATCATTTAGCCATACCATTAGAAGTTACGACATTTATAATAATAATAAAAATTATCAAATCAAATAACAATTGCATTCAAATTCGTCCTTAGAATATCATGATATAATTAAAAATCGTA